TTTGCGGCATCTCAGCCTCGGCAAGAGCTCTCCGCAATCCTTCTTGCCCACTGGGCGCCTGTAAGGACTCGCAGTCACCTGGCGAAGCATGGCCAATCTCGGAGGTTTCATAGTCAAGTGAACGGAATTGAGATTGAAGCTCATTAAGCTCATTGGGATGATATAAACTGTCTTTCTTCTGGGTATTTTATTGATATGTACATATAAATAGTATATATTATATAAATAGTATTATATATATATGTATATGATATTATATTATATATAGTATATATTTTATATATATAGTATACATATAGTATATATATATAGTATATATATATATAGTCAGTATATATATATATAGTCAGTATATATATATAGTCAGTATATGTATATATATATATATAGCCAGTATATATATATATAGTGTATATATATATATGTGTGTATATATATAGTGTATATATATATAGATAGTGTGTATATATATAGTGTATATATAGTGTGTGTATATAGTGTATATATAGTGTGTATATAAATAAAGTATATACATAGTAAATATATATATATAGTATATCTATAGTATATAGATAGTATATATATATAGTATATCTATAGTATATAGATAGTATATATATAGTATATATATAGTATATATATAGTATATATATAGTATATATATAGTATATATATAGTATATATATAGTATATACATAGTATATATAGTATATATATATAGTACATATATAGTATATATGTAGTGTATATATATATATAGTATATATATATAGTACATATATATAGTATATATATATACAGTACATATATAGTATATATGTAGTGTATGTATATAGTATATATATAGTATATATATAGTATATAAATAGTATATATATACAGTGTATATTATATATATATATATATCGTATATATATAGTATATATATATATAGTGTATATATATATACACTATATATATAGTATATATATATATATAGTATATATATAGTGTATATATATAGTATATATATAGTGTATATATATAGTATCTATATATAGTATATATATAGTATATATATATAGTATATATATACTATATATAGTGTATATATATAGTATACATATAGTATATATATATATAGTATTTATATAGTGTATATATATATATAGTGTGTATATATCTAGTGTATTTATATATATACTATATAAATAGTATATGTCTAGTATATATTTACATAGTGTGTATATATATATATAGTATGTGTATATATATATATCTAGTATATATATATAGTATATATATATAGTATATACATACATAGTATATATATATAGTATATATCTCCAAATATAGAAATGAGAAGGTAAAACTGAACCCCATTTTACTGTCTTACACTTTAACACACTTAATCGCTGGATCAAAGCAAAAAATGATTGGTAGTTGATGGACAAATTTGTTGGGAAGAACCATGGCTGTAAACAAACATTACCTGCTGCACACCCAGGGGCTGACTTCCATGGCAATCGAGCCCGAGATGACATAGTCCAAAAAGGTGGAAGTGGCAGTTTGTGTAGTCACACTGCTGGCGCTGAACACGGTCGTACTTACCTTGTTGCTTCAATCGCATGACTTCGACTAAAGTCAACTGAGAATCTTCTCAGCATAAGGCGGCGCGAAAATCAATTTATGGTACCATCTGGCTATTTAACATAGCCATGGAAAATCACCATTTTTAATAGGTAAACCATCTATAAATGGGCCATGTTCCATGGCTATGTTAGATAACCGGCGGGTATGGTCTATAATTAGATCATCAAACCGCCATCCAAGTGACAGTGACAGTCACTGATGTCACAGTGCTGCTGGTTGCAATGGTCGTTGGACTGCTGATCATCGTGGAAGTGTTGGTTATGGTCGAAATCGGTTGTTCACTGGTCGCCGTGTCAGTGGTTTCCGAGGCAGTTTTGGTCGTGCTGCCCGTCACGGATCTTGTGCCCGTGCTCGTTCCACTTTGCTCTGTGGCCGTGGAGGATGGGTCGTTGGAAGTCGCTGCCGCTGCCGATGTCGCTGTTGATAACGCTGTGGATGTGGTTGTGGTGGCCACTTCAGATGTCGAGACCGTGGAGACTGTACTGGTGACAGTAGTGGCGCTACCTGTACTGGAGGTCGTACGGGTCAAAGTGTAGCTCGTGCTGTAGCTTCTGGTGCTGGTTGCGGTGCCAGGCGCAGTAGTGCTGGTTGCAGTAGCACTATGAACAGTCACAGTACTTGAAGAGCTGGTGATGGTTGACGTGACCAGACTTGTGCTGCTTGATGTCAGGGTACTGGTGCGACTGGTGCTGGTTCCCATGATGGTTGCAGTGCTTCCGGTGGTGGCTACCACGGCCGTAGCCGTGGTCGTGGGAGTCCCGGTCGTCCTGGTGAAGGTGGAGCTCCTAGTGGTCGAACCGCTGGTTGTCCTCTGCCGGATGTTTTGTTGGAGAAACCTCTGAGCAGTGACAAAGACCTTTATATGGAATCCCCTTCAGTGCTCGGCTGATGGATCATAAATCCCAACCATCGTTGTATGGTTCAAGATCTGTACCCCATAAATCCGTCCGTCAGGGCCCCAAATCTGGTTCCATGCCCAAATTTTGTATTATGATGTTCCTCCAATTCCAGTCTCATTTCAGTCGCATTTTTGGTTGGTGAATTTCCCTGAAAATTCTCAAAGTTAAAGCAGTGAGTGGCTCAACTCAGAATGGTTCCAAGTTTCTCCCATTTATTTACAGTATATTCCGTGATATCCCCATCATTTTGCTACTAACACATCATAAGACCATCACTTCTCTTGGTGACGACCCCCCACTGCAGTCCTGGTGCCACCCTCCACCACCACCGCCGTGACGCTCAACGACACGCCCTCGTTGCCTGACGCGTCCAGTGCTGCTTGCAGCGTCTGCGAGAGCGATGTCGCGCTGGTGGTGTCCAAAATGTCAACGACGTCTGCGGCTTCACTGCCTGGGATGTGCATGAAACATGGTTATTGAACCAATAAATACATGGGAATATCATGGGAATGTAATGGGTATACAATGAGTATATAATGGGCAATGTATATACATGTTTATAATACTGTGTATATATATATGTATACAGTATATATAATGGGTCTATAATGGGATATACTGGGTATTATTTCTATATAAGTTGTATAACCCTGTATAATAGCAATCAGCAACTAATATGGGTATATTAGAAATATCACATAACATATAGTGATGAACATGACATAACCCATAAATGCTTGCCCGGGGTATATCCCACTAATCTAGCTGTCGATGATATGCCAACAAAAATGTGCTGGGTCAACGCTTCAGGCACAAGGGGCCACTGTGTACCCAGTTCTAACACCCGGCGTGGCAAATGCCCTCCGGTAATCCCATATCTATTTATACAAGCTATGGGTGTGTGTCAAAATTAGGGCACACAAATGGATGGTGGCCAATCCTTAAAAATAACCAATCCATCTGTGGTCTGGGTCTTCAAAAGTTGACCCACAATCGAAATATTTCAGTGTTGCATGATGAAAAACGATGGTCACAATGTCATAAGCGACCACAGTTGATCCGTGAAATGTGCCTGGCACCCGCAGTTCATAGAGCACCAGCGCGCTTGATAACAGTTCCCTCTCGACAGCACCAGTCATGCGGCGGCTGCACCTGAAGTGGTCCAGGTTTTGCAAAAGTTGGCATCCGCGGTGCCCCATACTTAAACAAGTTGGCTTGGAACTAGACCTAGGATTTGTGGTGGATACAGTATGTGTATCTATAGTTGGTGAAACTATATCAGTATGTATACGTAACTGATGGGTCCAACATTCTAGGGGTTCGTTTGATCCATGTGCAATCGACTGCTGCTGCTAGTGGTTTAGCCAGAAACATGCAGGTCTGACCAACTTTTACTGACAAAAACTCGTATTAAAGCGACAACAGGTCACGACATGAACCAATTTTCACTAAGCCTATGTCAGGAAGACTGGTGCCCGTAGCCATGAGTGGCTGTTGATGTCTGGTTTTATGGTCATGCAGCGGATTGTTTTAAGAAAAACACTGCAAAGATCGGTCTACCAGGGAGATTGGATGGATTCCTTCCACGTGCGCACAGTATCCTGAGTGCAGCCATCAAACGAGGGATGCTCATGCCCAACTACATGAAAGTTACACCAAAATCTCGTGGTGCATCACCATTCTCCGCATCAAAATTGCAATTTGGGGATATCTTCCATGTTCGGACAAACCCATGTGCTTATATGCATGCTTATATCAATGTATATATATATATGTGTGTGTATTATGTGTATATATATATATACATACATGCATATATATATATGTATTGTATATATATATATGTATATTTATATATACATATCCATTATTCATAGGTTCAATCCCTATTGAACCCTATATTTCATGTTTAAATCCTAATTTGGCTGGTTAAATCCCCACTGGCAACCCACTGCTCCGGCTGATTCCCCCAACAAAAATGGTCAGATTTTCCATAGGGAACTGACGATTCACCCGTGGATTCTGAGATCTGTTCCCAACAAAAATGCAAACAAAGTCATATTCCCTGACTGAGTTATCACATATGTCCATATACTGTATACTATACTCCGGTAACCGGAGGGTATAATTCCATGCTTCCATAGGGATGGGATAATCTCATGTATATATATATATTGGACTGTCCCCCCTTACACTAACAGTCACCACAATCCAGACCACAAAAAAAACACAAGCACGATGGACCCAAAATGCCATTGAGAAGTTGGGTTGGCACATTTTGTCAGTCTACCAACCCACAAAGAAGTTGGGTTTTTCACAGCATGAACCCAATAGTTCATAAAGAAGTTGGGTTTGTATATACTTTGACCGGAAAAGGCCAATGAGAGCTTAGGTCTGTATATTGAAAAATCCTGGGCAATCCAGCACAGAGACTCAGATTATGCACCATCCTATCGAACCAAAGGAGACCCACCAAACAAATGGTTGTTGATCAAAATTCCTTTATCCGGGAACGGCCATTCTTCGCGAATAAAAATTTTACTTTCGCGAAACTTTCGCGAACTCCATGTTTATCTTTCGCGGGTCCCATGTTGGCCAACAACACCTCTTATGAAGATTCGTTCACCACCTGCCAAATTACGCCAGAGAATCACGGATCACTTCTTGATAGCCTTTAAAACATGCAGCTAGCATCACGGAATCCCTTCTCAGGGCAAATATTGTTGCTGACTAGGTTTTTTTGGCAAGGTTTACTGGCCCACCCCCCTCAATTTGGATTGAGAAGATTGGGCCTTTCAAATTGTTTGTGGTTTTGGTCCCTGGGTTGTTGTGCAATTTTGGCTGGGAAGTTATAATTAAAATCCATTATTCCACTGTTAGTGAGGGGGGGTCACTCCAATATATATATATATAATTATATATATGGAGGTTTCCTGAAAATGAGGGCACCCCAAATGAATGGTTCATAATGGAAAGTCCTAATCAAATATAATTAAATGGATGATTTGGGGGTATCCCCATTTTAGGAAACCTCCATATCCTGAAATAGAGGGTACCCCCAAATCATCAATTTTAATAGGATTTTCTGCTAAAAGCTAAAAACCATCCATATTGGGATACCCCCATTTATGGAAACCCACATATCTACCTCTGGTAATTCAACATAGCTATTGAAAATTACCATTCATGGTTGATTTACCTAATAAAAATTGTGATTTTCCATAGTTTTTGGTATGTTTACCAGAGGGTTATATCATGTTATATCATTCCACATATGCTGATACATCACGACTCCACACATCCGACCTGACTTCGACTGCAATCCTCCACGCCGGCTGTCCGAGCAGTGCAGCCAAACCCAACACCAAGTCCTGCTCCTCAGCACGTCTCGAAGGAGAGAAGCGGAGGGCCTAAATTGGGTTAACCAGAGTTTATGGGGAATATACAGCAACTATGGTTAATCAGGTTAATCTCATCCCCCTTTTTTTAAACACCCCAAAAGAAACCATGTTTTTTTGTTGGGAATTTCATGGAATTTCCGCATTCCATTGGGACCATTTAAGGTGGTGTTTAATATTAGGATGGGATTCATGTGGCTTTTGGGGCCCGCCTTGTAGGGGTCATTTGAGTCATTTGACCCGATCAGCGCCCGCGTTTGAAAAAACATAGCTGGTAGATGCTGGTACTTTCTGATGTTCACTGGATACAAAAATACAATAAAATACATTCATGCCTGGTGGATCCTGGTAGTTTGTCCTGGCAAATACCTTTGTATAGCTGGATGTTCTTCCCCTCATTGGATGGACCCAAAATGTCCCAAAGGTCTTGACCATCAAACGTGAGCTTTGTACGCACCAGCGTTGGTCCGTGCGTCCGAAAGGCAGCAGGTTGAAACCCAGCTGTTGGCGAATCGTCTCCATTTTTTTGACTTGCCAAAATCGTTAGAAAAATAATCAGTCTTCCTCGAGGTTCCCATCATTGAAGACAAAAATGTGGAACAGTCCATCCAAAGATAAGTCCGTTGCCGCTAAACGCATAGATTGAATGATTTGGAAATTTGATGCCTCTAACGGAATTCTGTGCCAATCCCATGTTTCACTTTTTCTTGCTCTAAGGATTTCAATCAAGAAGGGGGTACGATCAAGTGCCCATCGCAACTCGAGGACAAAGGTTAAACATGTGTATCTCCTGCAGCCATGGTGGTAGTTCGCAATGCCCTTGCGTTATTGAAGTACAAAGAGGGGTCCCCAAAAAGATAGCAACCCAAAGTCCAATGAACATTTTACGGAATCATGTTCAATCTACTACTCAATTTAGTGGGGGATATGGAATTGCCCCAATTGGATATACATTATATATCAACATTTACTAACCACTTACCAACTGGGATGCACCTTCAAGTATCACACAATTGAAATGGCCACCCAAACACCCAATGATCCAGGATGGCACACGCAACCCAAATTTTAACAAGTCACAGAATCCAAAAGCAGCAGGCAATCGTTGACATTGATGCCTTTGGTCCGCCCAAACAACTTGGGATTAAACCAACCAAAAATGGATTTTACTTGAAACATGGATGGGATACCCAAACAAAGATGCTGGGATACGCAGAACGAAATGGTTTTTTTGGTAGAAAGGATTTCGATTCAAAATGGATACCCGAAAAAATCCACCAATGCATTGGCAGTGTTCCCTCATCTGTTTTTTTACAATCAGGAGACGCTTGCTGAGTTTCCCATTAAACACTGCATTTTCAAGTTTGAGTGGGGCGATTCGGATTTTAATTGCTAAATCCTGGAGTTCTACGAAGGATGAAAGTTTTTTCTTGGTGACAAGCGTAGCCCCCGGAAGTAACCTAAGAGTCAGGGCAACTCACAGAGTCGTAGTTGCAAACCCAAGTCAGTGTGCCATGCGCTCACTTAAGTGGTAACTGCTGGGGTCGTTCCAAGGCCTTACTAATTCCGATTATTAGCGTTTATTAGCGTCAGTTTGCAATTGTGCCAGGACAACCCCAAGTCACAAGATTGTCAGCAAAGGCCTGGTCGCGCAAAGAAATCTGCAAATTTTGACACGGGCTTGGAGGAGTGGTGAGCTGCACTATTCACTATTCAAGGTCGACATTGCCAGACAAGGCTTTTGGCTTCTGCTGCCTTGCGCTTTTGGCCTGCAGACTGATCCGGCAGGTTTTCAGCCCTGGTCAATTCCAAGGAAGATATCTCTTCGCCGAGCTTCCTACATTCGCCCTTAGACGGCCCTGTGAGCAGCAGAATGTTCAAATGCTGAGTCAAGACTTGCTCAACCTTGCCTTTCTGGCCATCACAAGCTGCTTTCTGCTTCGCAGCTTTCGTCACAACTGCACAACCTACTGTGAAATCTATTTTGGGTTCTTTGTCAGGGATTTTCTTAGCACCCTCTTCCTTTATTTGTTTCCCTTGCTCTCGTTTCCTTCTTCTCTTTTTTCTTCTTTTTGTCCTGTTTTTTTTCTCTTTGGCCTTTGGGTCATCTTTGGGGATATTCTCTGCAATTTCTTTCAAGAAGGTCAAAGCAGGAGTGCTATGCTGGAGATCCTTCGTGCTAAAGATGCCGACAAGCTTGTAGAGAACAGCTTCTGACAAAGTTTTTTTCACTTCATCCAGCACCAGCAGGCCGGTACAGGCTTTACGCAAAATCTTTTCAAAAAGGAATTTCACTGCTAAGGCCATTAACAGCTCAAATAGACGAACATCCTGCATAGGGATCAAGGCTACAAACATAACCTCTCAACTTGGTGAACTATCATTAAACGGCACTAATCACTAATCGGGAAGGGCACAGGCGGAATGAGTCGTGGAAATTCTGCGTGTGTCCACAGTGGGATCCCCCGTCGCTCAAGATATCCTCGGCACACCCCGTGATTGCTGCAATACGACAGTTCCACGGCGCACGGTCATTGGAAACTGGCTCGGCTCTCCAGCGGGGGCAAAAACCCTGGATCTTCATGGCCTTATTCGCATCCTGGCTCCCTTTGCGCTGTGGCGCCCGCGCCCGCAGCGGCGGCGGCGGTGGCGACGGGGTGCAGAAGTGCCATAACTGCTCCTGCCCAAGGAGTGAGCTGTGGTAAAAATTCCTTCATGTTCCCTTGCCGAGAATTCAAAGCATACGTGGGAGCTTACGTTTGCTTACGTTTTCCAAGGTTTTGCTTACAGCAAAACAATTTCAAGAACTAGCTTACGCATCTCTTAGACAGGAGCCACACCACTCCAAAAATTCAGGAAACATTTCAACAAGCAGCAGCGAGCACAAGACAAACGCTTCGTGAAAACAGACAAGAGCAAATGCAAAAGCAAAACAAAAGCCAAGCAAAAGCAAAGAAGATTAAAAGCAAGAGAAACAAAAGAAAGCAAAAAGTAGGCAAGGGCAAGCACAAGGAAGGAAACCTAATCGTAAGAATTTCCCTTGCGCGTTTCTTAATGACTCAACCCACGGGTCTTCGGCTACAAGCTGCATCGGCACTGATCCGGGATCAAACCCCAACCGGGGCCTTTAATACCAGACAAGACGTCCCGTGGACTGCTGAGATGCATGGGCTTTCTCGTTTGCCCGCCCTGTGCGGTATCCGCATCATTATGGAGCTTCACCGGAGGGCATCTGCCAGCGACCACGGGAGAGGCCCTCGAATCAACTGCCACTCAAGGTTTCCAGCATACCGGATATCCAACTGCAAGCCGCGGGCATCCTAGCCTCATTTGATTCGTGCGTTGCCGATCTCAGATCCCAACGTTCTGGTACCTGCACCTTTCCCCCCACCATTATATAATATGTATGTATGTATGTATGTATGTATGTATGTATGTATGTATGTATGTATGTATGTATGTATGTATGTATGTATGTATGTATGTATGTATGTATGTATGTATGTATGTATGTATGTATGTATGTATGTATGTATGTATGTATGTATGTATGTATGTATGTATGTATGTATGTATGTATGTATGTATGTATGTATGTATGTATGTATGTATGTATGTATGTATGTATGTATGTATGTATGTATGTATGTATGTATGTATGTATGTATGTATGTATGTATGTATGTATGTATGTATGTATGTATGTATGTATGTATGTATGTATGTATGTATGTATGTATGTATGTATGTATGTATGTATGTATGTATGTATGTATGTATGTATGTATGTATGTATGTATGTATGTATGTATGTATGTATGTATGTATGTATGTATGTATGTATGTATGTATGTATGTATGTATGTATGTATGTATGTATATTATGCTTATTTATTTATTTACTTAATTTATTTATTTACATACGTATGTATTCATTTGTACATGTGTGTGTGCGTGTGTAAAGTGAATAGTGCTTCATTTATTTTGATGCTGGATGTGTTGGATGAATTGTCACAGAATTTGTTTCCATCCATTGATTTTTTCTCTGTGGAAAGATTGAAGTTTCTTTGCAAATTCTTGAGTTTCGTGTGATGCATAAGGTTTGCACCATCGCATATCGCCCTAAGGCGGATCCAAATGTGACATCAATGCATTGCGTCCGTGCTATCATTCATCATAGACCCCGGTATCAAATTCTTCCCTGCAGTTGCTTGGTTTTGCTTCAATGGAGACACCTTGACGCAGCCAACATGAGCTCATGTTTCCGCATAAGATTATAGCTGCAACTCCAGTTTCAACTGTTCCTGCCAAGATGCTGATTTCACCCTTCAGCAACGTCATAGTTCTGGTTGTGCTAGTGGTGCTGGTTGAAGCTCTTAACACCTTCCGGGATTCGTGGCCGAAGGCTGCCACTAGTGGTGCCTAGCACTTGGCCTAGTAGGATTTCTGGTGGATCTATGTCGGCTGAAACGCCTAAAGCAACAAATATGACTGGTAGGCCCAAGCTTGTACCTGTCTACCCTTGTACGGATGGACCAAAAGCTCGCCTTCTGGGCTGGAAAATCCCCTGTGCAACTGGAGCTGAGTGTCCATTGCCATGTTTGATTATCATTGGTTTCACCATTCAGTATCGGATTATGCAATATTGGATACATACCTATGCCACATTGGATACACAGACCTACAACTCCCTACAACCATGCCATCCCCATCTCTTGTCTGTATTGAAGCACCTCCAGCTTGTACACGATGCTCACTGCTTCGCTGTATGCAGAGAAAACTTGGATCGATATGATGTTGATGGCAGGCCTCCGACATGCAGCAAGTGTCGTTGATGGTTCATGGTTCGGCTAAATTTGGTACCCCTACAGTGTCATCATGGCTAGCTGGGAATTTCACGATAAATGGAGGTTTTCACAGGGAAAATCATGGAAAATCATCGAACCAGCCATGCTTGATCACCAGAGGTAATCCTCAATTCACTGCACTCCATACTACCCTGGATCATTCCATCCCTGTGGCATCAGTGGCACTAGCCATGAACCATCCCAGTAACCAGCCGGAAAAAAAAAGGTTGTCATTTTGCGTCCCAAGTTGCTGGGGTGTAGACCTCATAAACCCCAATTGGGGATGTGTGTGTTTTTTGTTGGTTCATCATATTACACATATTCCATCGAATTATTTGAGGAAATACAGGAGATTGTTGATCCGCATTGTGATCCCAATAGACTCTGATGGGTAAGCTTCCATTTTGGATTGGTTCAAAATCCCCAGTGAACCAATTATATAATATCAACCCGTGGTTCACTATCCTTTCTGGTTTGAAATCTTAGTATGTGTATTTGTCGGTGAAGCTGCCTATTTTTGTCGTCAAGTAAACGCGGTTCAAACCATCACCACGGATACAGATCGATGAACTTAAAGTAAAGCGGGCAATGCTCCTGTCTCCATTCTAAGACTCGAAGTGGGCCATGAAAATATACCATCCCATTCCATTATCCTGGTATTCCTAGTATGAGTTATAACTTAACCAGTGAACAAGACCCTATAACCACCCTGCCATTACCGATCAACCAGTAAGCAACCATCATTTATCAACACTATATTTTTTTGTGTGAGTACCGATGGTTAAATCATGTTCAACTCCCATGTCTCAACCGTGTCCCCCTATTGTTTGATGGTGAAAACCCATAAAAACCCTGAAAATGATGGTTCAGTCCCATCAAAATCCCATTGAACTGGGTGTGTATCTTTAAGAACAAGTTCAATCCCATTAAAGCCAACTCAAGTCCCATTAACATCCCATTAAAGTCCCATCAAAATCCCAATCTTGTTCCGGTCTCCAGACTCCGCCCTCACCCAGGTGCTCATCTGCCAGGCAACTCTGGAGACAATTCAATGGCTTCAGAGATGCCACTGCTCTGGATGCCATTCCTACAGTGCGAAACTGCGTGAAAATCACAGGCTAGGGCGGCCCTCTGCCTTTTGCAGTTCTTTTTTGATTCGCCAATCCTCCTTGGCAACATGCAAAGCATAAACCATACCTTCTCTCACCACGTGGTTTTAGATAGAAGCGGGATGATCCATTGGTTATATAACCCTTTGCTATAACCAATCAACCATCAATAACAGCATCATTTATCTATTCGATCCCCAACTTTGTGGCAAAGGAAGAAAACATATTACTGATGATGTTTAAATCCCGGTTGGAATAACAAAACTATCTGTATACATCCACAAAAATCAACTTAATCATTGGTTAAGTTAAATGCCGAAATCCCCAATATATTTTTCTAAAAAAAAAACACGTTGACAGGGAACAGATCCCTACATCGTTGATTAATAATCATGAGCACATACGTCCAAATACATCCCATTCATCTCAATCATTGATGAAATCCCGAAAATCATAACGCCAAAAACATGATTTGGGTGTGTCTGCAAATACCCCTAAATCCATTGGTTTACCATTTTCCCTATATCAGTTTACCATCATTTTCCTTAAAAAAATTTCCCCTAAATATGGTTATCCCCATTTTCCCATCATCCATGAATACCCCTAAATCCATTGGTTTACCCGTCCATTTTCCCATATTTTCCCTATATCAACGACCATTTTTTTCATGGCTGTCCCCACGGGCTGCGCACCGAGCTTCACTTCCACCCTCTCAGCCGTCCCAAAGAGCTCGGTATGCACCGCGATGCGCTGGACAGCGAAGGGCAAGGAGATGTTGTACCAGGGCTGGGGCGTCTGTCCTGGGAGGAATCCCATGCCACTCATATCGGAATCGGGAAAAAATCAAATATATTCTAATTAAACGGATATATCATGGAATACACTCCTAAATAGACGGTATAAATATACAGTGTATATATGAAATGGAATACAATTTGATGGAATATGATGGGGATATGATGAAAAATCGATACTTTGGGGGAATAGCATAGTTTAAAAAACAGAAATGGAGGTGTATAGCCAGTCATGAACAGGGTCCCAGCACCTTCCACCACAGTTTCTATGACTCCAGAGAGAATGTATTGATATTTTTTGGGTGGGATACTATATCAGGGATATGTTTCTGACCTAATCAACATACTACCAACAAACTTATTGGGACTCAACCAAATAGATCCAAATGGTTTGTTGATGGTGATCATCCGGCGGACCGGTAGCTGCTAAACCCATCCATGGCAAAAGCCTGATGAAGGGGATTATACAAACATGTATGTGTATATATATATGTTTATATATGGTCCAGCGTTCCAACCCCCCTCCCCCCGGCCATGGTCATGGGTCAGCCATAGTACTGTCTATATACAGGGTTCTGTTTGTGCAGACGCAACAACAACGACAACAACAACGACTACAACTACAACAGCAACAACAAGAAGAAGAACAAGAACAAGAAAAACAACTACAACAACAACAACTGCTAGGAAGCAAAAGCAGGAGCAATAGCAGCAGCAGCTGCCACTACTGACACGACGACGACGACGACGACGACGACGGACTACCTATACTACTACTACTACTACTGCTGCTGCTGCTGCTGCTACTACTCCTACTACTACTACGACGACTACTACTACTCCTCCTACTACCCCTACTACTACTACTACTACTCCTCCTCCTCCTCCTCCTGCTGCTGCTGCTCCTACTACTACTACGACGACGACTACTACTCCTACTGCTACTACTCCTACTCCTACTACTCCTACTACTCCTACTCCTACTCCTACTCCTACTCCTACTACTACTACTACTACTACTACGACTACTACTACTACTACTACGACTACTACTACGACTACTACTACTACTACTACTACTACTACTACTACTACTACTACTACTACTACTACTTACTACTACTACTTACTACTACTACTACTACTTACTACTACTACTACTTACTATTACTACTACTACTATTACTACTACTACTTACTACTACTACTACTACTGCTACTACTTACTACTACTACTACTACTTACTACTACTACTACTATTACTACTACTACTACCTACTACTACTACTACGACTACTTACTACTACTACTACTACTACTACTACTACTACTACTACTACTTACTACTACTACTACTACTACTACTACTACTACTACTACTACTACTACTTACTACTACTTACTACTACTTACTACTACTTACTACTACTTACTACTACTTACTACTACTTACTACTTACTACTACTACTACTACTACTACTACTTACTACTACTACTACTACTACTACTACTACTACTACTACTACTACGCTACTACTCCTACTGCTACTGCTACTACCTACTCTACTGCTACTGCTACTGCTACTGCTACTGCTACTCTGCTACTGCTACTACTACTACTACTACCTACTCCCTCCTACTCCTACTCCTACTCCTACTCCTACTCCTACTGCTACTGCTACTGCTACTGCTACTGCTACTGCTACTGCTACTGCTACTGCTACTGCTACTACTACTGCTACTACTACTACTACTACTACTACTAGTCCTACTACTACTACTACTACTACTACTACTACTACTAGTAGTCCTACTACTACTACTACTACTAAATGATGGTTGTACTATATACTGTATTTGTAAAGTATATGATATGTAAAACTGTATGTATATGAAACTACAGATATGTATGTATGTATGTATGTATGTATGTATGTACGTACGTACGTATGTATGTATGTATGTGGATGTATTTATGTATGTATGTATGTATGTATGTATGTATGTATATATATTGTATACACTATCTAGAACTGGAACTGTATATGTAGTTTGTGTAAATATATATATCGATACAGTATACTACATATGTAGAACTAGAACTGTTATGTAGTATGTATGTACATATATACACGCTTTGAAGCATTCTCGTTCAATGACTAGTTGTACTCCAATACTTGCTTTGGGGTACACACTTCGGAACCCCAAAATGAAAGACTGGAATCCAAGGTGCAAGTGTCTACTTCAGGCTTCAAGCAGGTGGGTCGAGGTGATACTAGGTGATTGAGTTAAGTTGTCCGTGCGTGTGCTCTAGCTGATCCTATCAGGACGCTATTGCCCCTCTTCACCCCCTCCCCCCCTGTGGTGTGGTGGGGGTGTGGTACTGTCCCCCTCCCCCCCTGTTGTGTGGTGGGGAATGTGTTTGGAATGTATGGTATGGCATGTTTGGAATGTATGGTATGTTTGGTATGTATGGTAGGTATTGTATGGATGGTAGGTATGGTATGTAGGTCTGTTGGGTATGGTATGTTTGATGAATGGTATGTATGTATGGTTACTATGATGGGCATGGAATGTTTGCTATGTAAGGTAGGTGTGGTATGTATGACATGTATGTTTGGTATTGTATGTATGGGAGGTGTGGTAATTGTGTTTCATATGTATGGTATGTGTGGTATGTATGATAGGTATGATAGGTATGGTATGTATGGTCAAAGTTCGTATGGCATGCATGGTAACGGCATATGTTAAACACATGTAGTGTTGTGAGATTACAGATGTAGTGAATAGGAACTAGATACATAGCACATGTATATATGACTATAGGTAGCACGTAGGTACTTTAAGGGAGTATGTGTGCTACGTAGGTCGTCTAAAAGGTAGCATGTACCCAGTAAATGCGAGGCTGGTAGTCAGAAATGCTGCAAGGACCTAGCTAGCAACTACGAGGCTGGACCTCAGAAATGCTGAGGGGGTGCTGGAATGGGGTGCTACCTGGGGACCCATGCCATTGGGGGGGTAGGAACACGGAACACGAGACTATATATATATATATATACATGTATATATATATATATACATACATAATTGTATATATAATTATATATATACCCATACATATATTCAAATTGGCTTTAACCCCGGATCAGTGAACCCCTGATGTGTTCTTGATTCTTGGGGGGGCTTCATGTTAATAGCCATGTATCGCTCTTGAGTGACCTACCAACCATGGTTCAAGTTCAAATCAACTACTCCGTTGGATCAACCACAAGGGAACAGCTAAAATCCTCTGTGACCCCAAAAAAAAGAATAGATACCCGGCCTGGTAAATTAACAGTTGGACCCTGAAAGTAGCCTAGTTTTAATGGAAACTAATCTTCCAACCCCGATGACTGCCAGGGTCTATGTTAATTTACCAGAGGGTACCGGTATTTCAATCTCTGAATTTCGTGAGTGCACTTCTAGAGTCACCAATCTGTCAGATCTTCGCCTACAGGACGAATCACTTGGATGATAACTTGAGGTCTCCCACCTTCAGAGACCCCCATATTATTTATCAACTCACAATTATTGACCATTATCAATAACCATTATATAAATAACGGTTTAATGGACAGGGTTAGTGGTTATCATCATTCATGACTTTGATGATAACAAGTATCATTTATCAATGAAAATCATTTGTATAACCATTGTTCAGCAACCGTTTGGTTCATGATATGATTATGTAATACTAACCACTATCCACAGGGGACGGGGTGGTAAATGTCAGAACTTTAGCAACACCAAACTACTGACATATAACATGGGTCATTAAATGTCCCCATTGAACATCACCCAACCATTAGGTATATGGTCTATAATGGCTACTATAAGGTGATGTCCAATATACCCAAAATGGGACTGTTACCAACCCCCGTATAATCTCCAACACATGCTTGAAGGTGATGTTCCAAATCTCCGAAACGGGATATTTATCAACCCCGCACGGAGCCTTCTCCCTACGATCTCCCTAGGGTTACCTCTGCGAACCGTATGCCGCTCAGCGACCGGGCAGCGCCAAGTTCAGCGTATCGTTGTCACCTTGGATATCCATATGGTTCTCATCTTTCCCTCTGGTAAACAGCCACATAACTATGGAAAATCACCATTTTTAATAGGTAAATCAACTATAAATGGGCCATTTTCAATAGCTATGTTAAATTACCAGAGGGTACCCTGCAAAAAGTTCGCTCGGAAACCTACCACCCAAAAAATGGGTTTCCAAGTATTTCCGCAGCGTCAATGGAACCAAAAAAAAGCAGCCTTGCTGGTGAATGGAGTGAGTCACCAAGGTTGGGAAAATCTTATTTTTACAATATACCAATTTCATCAAATTTCTAATGCTTAGGAACTCATTCTTGGTTGAATCCCAGCTCTTGTTCAAACATGCCCGTCTCCATTGGTTGGATCGCAAGCGTTTTGACAACCCAGTGACTGAAACCAAAGTCCAATGCAAACGGAGGCGTCCTGGCGATCGAGTCAGCCATCCAAATGAAGTTGCCTATGGAGCAAAACTCTGGTGGAACCTTCTTTTCGCACCAAAATTGCTGGGATTTATCGATGGGAAGGGATGTTCATTTCACTCATGCATATGGTCCCAAAAGGTCAAAACATTGTATATGGTGTGTGGTCATCCATCCCATATTCGGAATCCACGCATATCAAAATGGATTGATGACCACATATAGTCCCAATAGGCTCCACAAAAATCGTAACTTGGGATCATCATGCTGCAGCTTTGGTTCAGCTCCGCTGTGAAGTTCACATCCAAACAGTCGATGTCCAGGGCAGCTAAGGCCGGCGGTTGCATCAGAAAGGCCCAAAACCGCACCTGGCGCACCAGGGAAGTTGACTCAGTTGACGAAACAGGTGCAAAAGTTGACCCATCAGCAGTACAAATTGGGATTTTCTCAAACGAACTGGGGGGTTTTGCCGCAGTTGGCATCTCACACCTCACTGGTTTTTTGAAAATGCTGGGATCGCTGGGATCCAAGAAATGCCTGGATCATGCTGGGATCTTCCCCATGGAACCACTGAACTCGCTGATGACATACCCTCTGGCAACCTGTTAATGGGAAAACACCCTGTAATATGTGTATTTATTATTTATACATGTATATATATACATATATACATTCAAAATTGTTTATAAGTCTAAGTAATTTTCCCATGATTGATATTTACTTATAGATCACCTTCCGAAAGAAAATTTGGATTTCCCGGCCATTTTGATCTCCAAAACCCTCGGGAACGCGGGAACGCCCCGGCACCGTCTGTGAGGGTCGATTCGTGACCTCTAGCGTAGCATTCACCTGGCGTTTCCCCAACTGGTTTAACCAACAAAAATAATGGTGGAAAATCTGTAAAAAAATGTGTTTGTTGCTGGAATTCACCAACAAAAATCATCTGGAAATCACGGAATATTGCCAGTAATGAGATATAAAACACATGTGATACGATATTTGTGTCTGCCTAAGGGGGCCCCATTTTCAGTCAAACCTTCTACAGAATTACACATGCAATCACATGCTAGATGTCAATGATGTCCATGTGGGAAATATAGAGGGCCGGCTCAGCATTTTACGTCGTTTCCCTTTTTACTGATTATTCAAAGGAGAAGTTATCTCTCTATTGTTCATCCAATCAATGAGGAAAGGAAATAGATTCCCCAATGATCAAAAATAAAAGGGGCTGAGGTGTACGATAGTTTGTCATTGCCAATACCACCTTTAGTACAAAGATAGCTTAAAATGATTAGCAATGATTACAAACACCCCACCAACTATTTCGTCGGCAACTTGTTTTGGTCAACGAATTGGCCCAATAACCGACCGAGGGTCATCCATTGTAGTACCACCCTCCAAAACTACCTCCCATGACAGCCCATTGTATATAATTAAAGATGTTTTTCTCATTTATATACATATATACTTTATAATTAGAATTATATAATTAGATAATACATATATATATATTGTTTTATTATTATATATATACTACGCATCAACCAGCCCACCATCTGACACGTCTCAGCGCAGCCCAGTCTCCTGTTCCAAGAAGCCCGCCGGTCGGCTGCCGGTGAAATACTTCACCACGAAGGCCCCTGGGGCTTTCCCCGGGCGAATCGGTGTCGTATAGTGGGTATAACCACGGTGATAACTTCCAGTTGGGATATAACCCAAGAAAAAAAGTTCTACAACTATGCTTATCTATCCACTGAGAAAACTGGAGCTGCACCCTCAAGTGGACGTTGCAAACCATCAAGCATACGGACTCAAAGGTAGAAACAAAAATGTCGGGAATCAAAGTTTAGAAACAAAAAACTGTGATTGGAAGCTAAAAAATCAACAAATGTTGGGATTTGAAGAGATGGGGAAAGCTCTACAAGAATCGGTCAATACTTCAAGGATTGAAAATGAGAATCTCTCACTGCCATGTTAGAAATATGGCCATTCACTTACTAGCGGAAGATCGAGTTTGAGGCGTTCAAATTTCGGGTCCAAAAAGAGGAACATTTTGGTCCCGCAATGAGACTGTGTCTTTTTTTCAATGGGGATACCCTCTGGTAATTCAACATAGCTATTGAAAATCCCCATTTATAGTGAATTTTCCCATGAAAAATGGTGGATCTTTCCATAGCTATGTTAATTTACCAGAGGGTACCCATGAAAAACAGAGTTTTATGACAGTTTGATACAGTAAACCATGGGTTTTTCGGCATTTCCCCATTCCATCACCATGCAGGATGGTGCCCCCCAGTCATAAGTTGGTTTATAAACCCCATTAACTAGTTCGTTGTATCTACCATAAACCATAGTGAAATGGGAGTTATTTGCACCAACTTAGCTAACGAACTGGGGCACCACCTTGTGTTTATCAACCGTCAAAATCGCTTTTGACCATCCTCCTGCCTTGCCCTAGGTAGATGGCGTCATCCAACGGACTGAAGCTCCGTGGTGCCACGGCGCCGGAGCTGGGCACAAGGCCCATCCAGCTGCGGGAACTCGCGGGCACCTGGAGCCCAAGGGTCGCCATGGTGCCATGGTGCCATCTCGGGTATACGAGTTGTATACCCGGCCTGGTAAATTAACAGTTGGACCCTGAATCCATAGCCTAGTTTTAATGGAAATGAATCTTCCAACCCCGATGACTGCCAGGGTCGAACTGTTAATTTTCCAGAGGGTATTCATTAGTATCATTAGTCATGGAAACTTTACGTGTATTTAAGTTATACATACTGTATTAGTGTTATTTGCATTAGTCATATAATGGATATAAAGGTGGATTAAAGCATGAAACTAGGGATATTCATTGGATATAACCAACTCTCATCAAAAGTGTAACCATGCAAAATTGTAATTATTCAAAACGATATGCATGGGATATTTGATAAGAGATATAACCAACTATTGACTATTGATTTGGAGAAAAATTGTCCAAAGATCACTGCTGGCGCCACGATTTCTACATCTCCAAAGGGCGGAAAAAACTGTGATTTTTCCCCAGCGGATGAAATTCCACCACTTACTAGGCCATTTCAAGGATTTTTCGCAATGCATCCTTAGCCCCCGCGTTACGTGCGCCGCGCATGCTATGGCGGCCAGTGGCTGTCAGCGACCACTCCAAGAGGTCGTCTCCTCTGTTTGCCAACTCCACGGTGGCCGAAAAGTCCAAGGATGCTGGGCTTTGGATCAGCGAAGGTCGTGAGAGGATGTGGAGAAACTCCTCGGAAGCGTGGCGAATGACTGACATGGGGGTTATGATACCTGTAATAAGTTATAATATGTTACTTGCTGATGGTCTGGCTGCTTGATCCCAATCAACTCCGGGCTACGCCTCCGGGCTATGGGCAGTTGAGAATATATATATATATTATATATATATATATTATATTATATATTATATTATATATATATGTCAAAAGTCCAAGTTTCATAGTTCCCAGGCGACGAAGACGGCCAGCTGGAGAGCTCCAGGGTGTCATTTCGCCGCAAGACCGAGCAGCCATTGCCCGCGTACTGGTCCTGGTGTCATATCGATCCCCCGCCAAAAGTGACATGTTGAGTGAGATAAATGATGATAAATGTACCCTCTGGTAAACTAACGTAGCTATAGAAAATCACCATTTTTAATGGGAAAACTCACTATAAATGGTCATTTTCAATAGCTATGTTAGTTTACCAGTGGGTAAATGTAAACCCATCCAATCACAGAAAAGGCGCAAAAATCCAGCTGGTATGGCTAGAATCCGTCCAGAGCGGAAAAGTTCAAGCTGGCTGCGCTGGCTGTCTTGTGGCCGAAAACCAGGAATCCCTGGAGAAATAATATTCTACATTTGATTACCATGAGTCTTTTTCTGTACCAAAAAACTTTAACACCCCCGCTTCTGCTCTTCCAAATTAATTTCCCCTGTCCTCGCAACTGCAGCGGCCAGTAAAGGTATTACAAGAACCATGTCCTTAGGGGCTAGAGCGATGAGGATGCTTGCCTGATACTACAAAAGCGACTGTACCCATTCCAGAATTTCATGTTTGAGTGATGAGAATAGTTTTTGCTTTTTTTGTGGTAAAGAGGTATGGTTCAATGTTCATGAACTCTCAATTTTATACATTCCCTGAGCTGGCAAAAAGACAAGCAAAAATGGGTCATTGGATTCATGAACCTCCGCACCGCGGACCTGTAAAGGAGTCTAGGCGCTGACCACTCTCAAGTTACATATGATTATGATTTCTCGGGGTTAGTAACAGTGACATGACTTTGCCCACAATTTTTTGTACCATGTTAACCCCAAAAATGCCGGATTTCATCCAGAAAATGCGTGTTTTTTCCCCATGCATGGAATGGGGGTACCCATCCGCAACCCCGAAGTATTTTCCCAGCGAGCTGTGCTTTTCGGATCTGGGCATGATTTCATGGGGAGATAACCCCCCATTTTAGCGCCATGCGGAAAATTGAATTATGTATTATATACTGTATATGTATATATATACACATATATATATATGTTATCTGTGTGGGTATAGTCTGATTCAGAGCTTTTTGCAGTGTTTGAGAACTTGTCATCGAATTCATAGAAGTTGTCCACGTTTGCAAGAAGTTGTGCATGTTTCACAGAAGTTGTGCACGTTTCACACGCCCCCCTAATAACGTTCGTGTTCAACTGCTGTGGAATGGACTGCTCTCATTGGGGGCTCTTAACCAGACTATCCCGATCTGTGTATGTATATATATATATATCACATATTAGACATATTATGTAGTGATTGAAAATGATGACAAACCATCAAATGTGCCTTTTCCCACAGATTATCAGGCAAATCCAACTGGTCACTTTTTGCAGTCTCGTTGCCAGAACACCAGGTGCTGTTGTCTCCCAACCTGCAAGCAGTTGAAGGTGGCACCTCAACAAAGTATATCCCATGTCTTTGTAAATGGTGAAAAAAAGACGGCTTGAAATCATGCAAGTGGTGCTTCCCAGTTTTGCTGATTGGTTTATAACCTCCTTAGCATCCTTTACTCATATACCGGTATATCTAGCATAAACCCAATCGTGAGGCTAGTTATGCTTACCAGTTTGGCTAACGACCTGGGGCTCCCCATTGTGGTATTCCCAGAACGGATTAAGAGAATATTGGACCGTAAACCCTCCTGTAATCATCAAGCAACAACCTTTTTAAACACTGCTCGGGTACTTTCAGGGGTAAAAGTAGAATGTGATGCAATAAGAATCATAGATATAAAATGATATAAACCCATAGATGTAAGCTACAAACCCCCATAGACATATAGACAATATATATATATAATATATTATATATTATATATTATATATTATATGATATATATTATATATTACATATTAAATATTATATATTAAATATTATATATTATATGTTATATATTATATATTATATATTATATATTATATATTATATTGTATTATATCTATCTATCTATCTATCTATCTATCCATCCATCCATCCATCCATCCATCCATCCATCCATCCATCTATCCATCCATCTATCTATCTATCTATCTATATATATATATGCATATATTATATATATATTATGTATATATATCATATATTTATTTATATATAATATATATATATATAAACCCAAACAACTACCATAGTTTGTGCATTTCAACAACCCAAAGATGTTCATCCTCTCACTTTGCTTGCCTGGGACAGCTTGGCAAAGTGGTGGGCCACACGGGATTGACAATCACCTGGTGAATCGGAAACGGGAGGTGGGAGAAGAAACAAATTCAAATGGAGATGTAGAATCAACATGAATAAACCGCAGAAGAGGGTGAACTGAACGAACTGAACCAGGAAAAAATCCAGTTTTCGGACCAGCAAAAACATCGAGATTGAACTTAGAAGTCAGCAAGTTTTGCATAAATCTGCCAGTTCTTCTAAGTTCAGGATCGCCCAGATGTATATTAATCAAAGAGGGCTTCATACAGATAAATAGTGGTTGATAGATATATAAATAGTGGTTTATCTGTATATATAGATATATAATACTACCATTATTTAATTTGTATATATACGGAGAAATGGGTATGGGTCAAAATTAGGTACCCCAAAATTATGGATGGTGTTTCTACTAAACTAGACATTCACATCTGTGGTCCCCTTAACGGTCTTCCATTTTGACCCACATCCAGACCTAAAAAAACCGAGCTGCCGCTCCAAGGGCCCCACCGGATCCCCACCGGACGCTCGGAGAGTTTCTGATCTAACCGAGCTGCCAAGTTGTTGTTCAGGTCACTGCTGGTGTAGGAAGGGAATACCTCTGTTATTAGCCTCAGGTTTTTTCGCAGGGCTGGGAGATTGCTCTGACATTCATCAAAGTGACTGAAATCACATTATATCACGTTTATACGCGTTACATGTGTACATATCTAGAAACACAATATCTGTGTATACTCTTTAGACACGTTTGATACAAAAAATATGTGCTGTATAATTACAACATGTTTACAATATATATATATATACATAGATTATACATAGTATGTACAGGTACATTATAAAGAATGAATACATAGATAATATACACAGGTAGGTAAACAGATAGACAGACAGATAGATAGACAGACAGACAAATAGATATTGGCTGCATGACGACATCTGTGGACAAGAGACCGAAGCATACGTTCCCAGAAAAAGCCACAACTGAAGTCAAATAAGCAGTGACTGGCTGATAAGTGTTCGCAGAATGGACTAGATGTTAACGTCTGGTTATTTAACATGGCCATGGAAAATCCCTTATAAATTGAGGTTTTAATAAAAAAAATCATCTATTTATTGAGGTTTTAATAAGAAAATCATCTATGTCTATGGGCCATCGAAATCCCATGGCTATGTTCATCTTGTTTTTGGTTCAATCCCCATGTCCTCTTGTAATCGCTGGCATGCCAATGGAAACATCTCCTTTTAGTTCGATGATTTTCGCGAACTAAACCTCCATGTTTCATAGGGATTCTGCAGCCACGCTTGATTACCAGACGCTAATTATAGTTCGTTATCATTGCCATAAACCAGCCATAACCATAGTCATGGGAACCATATAGATATCAACCATATCCTTCTTTTTTATTATCACCATCACCATCTGTGATATTTCACCATCAACAGATCTCGAGACGCATTGATCAATGGATTGGTTTAAGGGAAAATCTACAGGAAACCATGGTTTTTACCATCAAATATAGGGCTTTCCTGTAAATTGTCCCATCATCCAATTCTATGAATTGATCATCGTTCCGAGACGCATTTTCATTCGACCCAAATTCAGGTCGCTTTCAAAGACCACGATTTCACCTGCACAGTGAGACCCCCCCGGAGGCGATGGAACTGGGACAATCGATGGAACTGGGAGCAGAGCGCACCAATTGGTGCGTATGAAGTTTGACACTGGAACACTGGAACAGTATGTTTTTTTGGATGGATGATCATCTTTGGTAACTTTCCAGGAGATGAAAACTCAAACACAATCTTTTGACCCTAATAGATTGCCTCAAGAAAGTGAATTGTTCAGCACTTCTTCAGCCACTTCTGTCTGACCCACTCCCACCTGATGCCACGCGAAAGCCAGTGTATGCCAGGAAGATGAAAAGGCCACTGAGACCAAGAGATGCAACCAGCAAGGGCCAGCGGCATGTCACCTTAACTCACATTGAGGAATGGGCAACCATGGCAATAGACATCGATCCTAAGATAGCAAACATATCAAGGAACTGAAACCATGGCTGTCACATTTATGACCTTGAATTCCACCTTTAGGGTACTCTGATGTTGCCATTTCCACTCACCAAGTCAGCTCAGTTTCCCGCCAAGCAAGGTCTGATTTTGGTGTCCATCTGCCGTTCAATACAGCCCAGCTCGCCAATGTGAGCATCCAAAGCAAAGATGGAGCTGGGGTCCTGCGAAGGTTCGAAACAGTTCTGTAAAGTTTCGAATGGTTTTGACTTCATCAGCAGAGATGAATCTGTCCTCTCAGCCACCCCAGTATACCCCCAGTAGAATACCATTGAATCCCCATTGTTCTGCACGGTTCATTCCTCCGGGCCCCAAAAAAATGGCCCAACACTTGGCCCAACCTGACATGAAGCAGTTCGGTTCCCAAGAAGGTGGACGCCGAAAATGATGGGGAAAAAAAAAAGATCTCATGGTTGATCATCATTTTCGGTGGCATATCAACTGGACATATATTATATCATATATTACAGTATACATTTCAAGGGACATATATAGATAGGGGCATAGAAGACTCACTTATATATATATATATATTATTATTATTACTATTATTATTAGTATTACTATTATTATTATTATCATTATTATTATTACTATTATTATTACTATTATTATTATTATCATTTATTTTATTATGATTATTATTATTATCATTATTATTATTACTATTATTATTTATTATTTACTATTTATTATTATTATTACTATTATTATTATTATGTTCATTATTATTGTTGTTTTATGATTATTATTATATATATATATTTCACCATCTATCAGTTAAAAACTGCCATTCTGGAGGCATACAATCTGTGGAGAAACCATTTTTGACGGCCTGCGAAACGCGCTGCGTCGACGCGGCCGAGAGCTCACCGCTTCGTCGTCTGGAAGTTGCCGCCGGTGACACACAGTCAGGCTGCACACAGCAGGGACCTCCAAACGGAAAAAACAGCAGATTTTCTCCAGCCAAAATTGGGGATTCCATCATCAACCATGGAAACATCCTCTTTTTTTACGGAGGTTTATATTAATGGAATATAGTTGGGAAGATCATCGAATTAAATAGTGGGTTTTCCAGCAAAGCACGCTTGATTAGCAAAGAATATTGTCAACAATGGAAAATTAACCACTGATTAACGGGATCTTGAGGCAACAAATGAGATGAACCATGAAAAAAAAATGTTTTTCCAGCCCGCGACATACTGATTTGCGTTTAGAGTCCACAACAAACCCAATTTCATGCGCAGTCCAAGCATCGTAAGTGAGTAATAACCATACGATGATCCAGTTAAAGATTGCATATCCTCATCTAGATTGATGGGTTAACAACCACTTCCTAAATGAGATGCAGCCCGAAGGAGGCATAGGTGAGATCATGTGAGGGAGTGATTTTTTGGGATGTGCATATGGCTGAACTTGTGGTTGTGCGAGGTATTTTGGTGATTTTGCTGCTGCAAGTTGGCGTTTACCAAAAAATTAACCATCTCCACTTTTACTATAAATGAGTGGTAACAACCATCACAAAATTAGGAGTATGTTAACCAATTTCAACTATTACATATGATTGATGGGTTTTAGCAAATGGTTTTCAGGTGGGTTTTCAGGTGGCTTTTCAGGTGGCTTTTGCATGAACCAGAATTTGGCAGTGTGTCAAAACCTTGTACCCCTGGTGAACATCAAAATAGCTGGTAAATGGATGTTCATCCCCCTAAAAATGGTATTAATGGGTATTGATCCATACCCATTTGGTAGACATCTCCAACGCAAACCCAAGAGTGAAACATCAGCAAAAAGCTCCAAGTCTTCCCGGTGCCTGGGTCGTTTTTGCGCCAACATCGCAGCAATGGGGCTAGATAGATCTCACTGACCAGGAGGGAGGCAGCAAATATGGTCAAGACCTGGGTGAAATGCCGAGAGATTTGGAAGCCTCAGCTTATTTTAACCAATACCTAATTGGTGGTTGAGCCCTACCCCCTGAAAAATATGAGTTCGTCAGTTGGGATGATGACATTCCCAATATATGGAAAAATAAAATTCATGTTCCAAACCACCAACCAGATATAGTAGACTATGGACATGAAATTCATGACAATTAATGATACGTAATTCATGATAAAGGGGTCTCAAAATTATGATAGATCATCATTCTTCGTGATAATTCCAATTCCGAACGGCGCCTTGCCCCATGCCGGCCGACCCCTGCCGTCCGCAACGGACATTGCCGGTGCGCGATGCTCCAGAATTAATCAATTGCGGGTTTATTGACCCTGTGGTTGACACAAAAAAAAAGCGCTAGGGCCCCAGAAAGTCTGGCCCTGTTTTCTGATTCCGCGACTCAGAAAGTCTGGCAAATCACAAGTTTCAAGATCCAAAAATCCGGGTGATTCTCCAGCATACCATATTTGCTAGTGGATATTCATCGAGAAAAAATCCCATCACCCAGTCGCTCCAGGGGATCTCCATCTAATGTCAATCCCGGATGAATAACTCCCCTGTTTATTAATTCATCATTAATAGGGGAATATTAATTCCTTTAATAGAGTGATACCAACTAATAGTAATCAATTTATGATGATTAATTGCTATTATTTATAGGGTGGTACTAATCTTGATAGCAATTCATCATTGATTCTGTTTGGGGTAACCCCCCAATTAATCAGCCTATGGGTGAATAAAAATCCAGGGTTGACATTTGGCGGTTTCCTAAAATGGGGTAGCCCCAAATCATCCAAGTCATGGATGACCATGACTTGGTGAAACCTATGGTGACTTGGAGATCCCCCATGACTTAGTAGTGACCCGTCCCTTTGGTTCCAGCCCAAGCCACATTCACAAAGTTCCAGAGCACTAGGGTTCCCATGAAAAAGCCGAAGCCTCGTACCACACTGACGATGGACAGCAGGTTGGCATAGAAGGATCCACAGGTGGTCGCAGATGTGACCAACATGGCCAGGGAAGCCTTCCGATATGCCCACCTGGCCACTCTTGGTGCTGCAGAAATGGCATACTGTGGGCAATTCAATACTATATAAACCTACCATTTGAGGATGGTTTGTACTACCCATTTCTGGTGATTTTGGGGGATGGTGTATTACTGGGCATACCACATCAATGTGTATGGCTTCTTTTAACCATGCTGGTAACCTCAATAAGTTGGGACATTGTCCCTTAAAACTATATGTTTGAAGCCTTTTCAGGTGCCACGGCGATGGCTGGTGTGTTGCAAGTCCATGATTGGTAGTATGGAGTCTCATCGTCAAAAATTACCCATCAACTACCAGTTTGAACCTGATGGAATGAGTGCTACATAAGCCCTTCAGGGTGGGAACCCCCAGTTATATAAGTTTGTTTATTAATTATAAACGCCATTAACCATTAACTATAAATATATATATATCATATCATATCATATCATATCATATATCCATCTATATCCCATAGTAATTGGAGTTATAAACCAACTTAGCTTTCTAGGGGGCACACCTGCTTGAAGTGCTGTTTTAGAATGGCTTCAACTAAGGGCCTGCCTCATTTTCTCCGCCGGCGACAGCTGAGATCCATCATCCACCACCAGCATCGCAGGGGCCAACTGGTAGGTGTTGTACAGCAGGAGGATGTCGTCCGCTGCGATGGCAATGATGAGGAAAATGGAGACCAGATCCATGACCGTCAACCTGTTTCAAACGAGTCTGATAAAGGCGACTCTCACCGCAGATTTGATGGACTGGTCATTGAGTTCTATTGACCATCCAATTTTAGGGGTATTTAATTTGAGCATGGGTTTTCTTTGGCGTTGGAGGTCTATTCCTTGTGCGACCTCACCAATCCACTGTGCCGCAAGATTTCCCCAACGGTTGATCATCATTTCCCCACTGAGTTTTTGCCAACGGTTGACTCATTGGAACCAATGCTGTGCATTTGGCAATCCTAGCTATAAAAATTGAAATGGGGGATCATGGCACCATTTTTTTACCATGGACGCCAACTGGAAGCAAAGTTCACCGAGTTGACCCCTTTTTTTTCGGCCTCTGGTAGCCCATCACTGCAATGTGAAAGTAATAGGTGGATGTAAACGCCAAAACGACACCCAGCACTCCGCAGAGCGTGGTGAAGAGGTTCTGCGTGCGAAGAAGAACCTCGGAGAGCCAGGAGGTGCTGCTTCCGAGACTTGGTGTTTCGAGTTGGGTGAAGATATACAGCAGGCCTCGGTGTTTTAATTTCGGAAGCAATTCTTCGGATCGACCCAGTGACTGTATCTCAAGCTCACCATGTTTGATGGTTAAATCCCCATTACACCAGTGTTGATTGTGAAGTCATGTTACCACGCATAAAACGCAGGAAGACTGCACCACTATGTGTGTGTGTGTCTCGCAGCGCTGTGGAGACCCGTCGTCCAGTGATTCTTCGCGATATCCACAAGGCTTGTATGGGTTAACTAGCAACCCCCAAATGGCCCTAATGGAGACAGAAGTTGGTTTCATACAAAAACAATGACACAATGATCATCTATGAGATTCTGGAATAGTTTTTCTATGTTTGTTAAGTTGGTTAAATCCCATATGTTGATGGTTAGCTCCCGCATTTTATTGAATTCAATGGTACCCATATCTCCCCGCTCTTGGTGGCATCCCCCTTCACAACTCGAGTCGAGTTGCCAGGCTAGTGACCAAAATGATGGTCCCTGCGCAAAACCTCAGCAGAACTCCCAGTGAAGCAAGAAAACGGCGAGCTAAGACATGGGGATGCAATGGGATTAATGGGGATTCAGTAAGCATATTATTATTACAGTATTATTATTATTATTTAAATTATTTATTTATTATTAATATTGTTGTTATTATATCCCCGTTGGGCGTTCAACTTAGGGTGCAGCACCAGGTTTTCACCCCAAACACCTAGTTTAAAAACCTGGAGGGCCAAGGTATGAGCAATAAAAAAGTGAAACGATGAAAAGCCCTGAAAATGAAAAATCAAGGTACAAAAGATTAAACTCAGTGTGTCTGGGGTATTTATTATTATTGTTGTTATTTATTATTATTATGATACAATGGGATGTAAACCAACAATTATGGGTATTAACCACTAGTATATACATGGGAAATGTTAATAGGTGTTTAACCGGCCAGTTTGTGAGTAACCCCATTTTCAAACAAAGCCATCTGGCAAAGCGATCATAGAAACGTACCCATGACTCATACATTTTAATCACTGGGTTGGTTTGAGGGGAAACTCTACAGGAAACAACTTGTGGTTTCCCATGAAAAATAGGGACTTGTCCTGAAGATCTTCCCTGGAAAACCAATCGGATCTTGCCCAACTAGGCACCAGCAATCATTGATCAGGTAGTAGTTCACTTCGTGGTTGTAGAGATAGCGACCTTGGTCACTTCGGCATGACTGGATCAATGGAACAAAGACAAGATCTGTAGTTTTTCTGCAATGAAGCTAAGATCCGTAACAACTGAGGATGCGCACTCTCGTGCCAAGAGAAAATCACATGCTCGTAGTTCAGCCGATCCTTTCCAGTGATCTCTGTTCCTGGGTCGCAAATTCAAATTACCAACCAATCCACCCAAAAACCCAACAGTTGTAAACAGGCATGGTTCAAAAACCGTGAAATGAGATGGGTTGCTAAAAAATGACCTGCTGACCTGCTGGTCCACTAGCAAAAAAAAAATCGACCTCTGCGCAAGTCTCATCTGCAGCTGGGGCTCGACGCAAGAGATCCCTCCAGAGATCCTTCAAAAAGTTCCCAGACTTTTGTCTCTGCTCCTCTAGCCTGGGAAAAACCCGACTTTTGCCAGTGTGGAACCCCACAAAAACTGTAAGGGTGTCCGATAGGTGCAGAAACCATGTCATTTCATGTCTAGTCTAAACCACCAAAAAAAAAACATGCAGAAACTTACAGGATCCCAATTTGCGAAATTTGAAACCCTCTCCACACTGGCAGTTTCTGAGCCCCCCAGAAATTCCTTGGAAGTTTGCCACCCCGGGCCTGGTGACCAAATCTGGGTAGCCAGCGAGGGGCAGGCCACCGAAAAAGGTTGCTCTTGTGTATTGACCTGGAAATCATAATCTCAGAGGCAAAAGGAAGCGCCGGGGTGACTGGACGAGACCTCTAACCTTTTGGCCTTTTGGGACAAAGACTATATGACTATTTCTAAATATCAGGCAAGCAAATCAATGTTCAGAGACAAGGGTACATATGTTAAACAAAGGAATACTTGAGTTTTGTTGTGAGTTGATCCACCTGTTTTCTTCTCAGCTGATGCATGGTATACCCTATGATGGGCAAAGCCACAACTGTCTTCACAAGCTAAGCGCTACATGCTTTGGCTATGGAAACATCTCCCTCTGCTATCAGGTCACTCTTCAGATTTTGTGGCCCAAAGTCCTTGTCGACCCACCAATCCAGTCCATCCTCGGCTGTTCGAGAACAGCACAGTGTTAGTTGTTCTTACTGAAAATGAAAAACTCATGTGAGCCATGGTCAATACTCACTATATGGTTGATGGTCATCCCATCCATAATAAAGATCCTTATAATGGTTATTATAAATCCCTATGAACCATTGGATGACTAGCCCCTATGAATGGTTATTAACCATGAGTATTGACCATAGCTCATGTGGTAAAATCCCAGGGTGGAATTTTGGGTAACAGAAACTTTGAGTCGATGACTTTTGGGTCGATGACCAATTGAAACAGGAACTTTCACGGCGTTGCCCAAGGCCACTACAGGCATGTTCTGGTAAGGGTTGTTGCAAGCCTTTGATGACAGGTTTTTCACCAAAAGGCGCTTTCGGCTGTTGTTTGCAGCAAAAAATGGATAGTCAAGTAGCAGGAATCGACCAGATGTGTGGCACCACCTTATCTTAAGGCTATACCCCCAAGTCGTATGGCTGACCTTAAATAACTGGCACAAAACAGAATTTGTGGCTGGATTCTTATTCCCCCCCACTCTGGTCAAAAATGACGCCATCAAATACCATTGTATCACCATTCGACCACGCAGTCTAACTAGAAGTAAGTCCGCAAAGGATCTCTCAAAAATCCTTCAAGGACATCATCGATGTCAGCAAGCGATCCAGATCCATCATAGATCACCTGGCCGTTCAACAGCCGGGAAAACTCTCCACAAATGTCTAGCGCTTTTGGGCAGTTCAAACTTAGGATAATTATTATGTTTCAAACCCAAATTCTCCAAGTTTGAAACGTTATGTACCCCTCCAATGAACTTCCACAAAAAATACAAACCAGTGCCATATGTATACATATCATGTATATATATATATATTATACCTATATTATACATAGTTTAATCACATGTGTCGCAGTCGCTCGCCACGCCCCTTCGTGGCACCTTCATATCAGCTCCTGTGATCTCTGTGGCATTGGGAACTGAAAAGAAGATGTTCGTGACCTGGCTGAGAACCAGCTCCAGTGGGCCGTGAATCGATTATGATGGATTCATTCAAGGGAACTCCTGAGGAAACCAGGCGGTTTTACCATTCTTGCCAGCTAAGATATGGCTTAAAAAAAGTTTCACTGTTTCGTTGAACCACTTCTATGAAGAGTTTGTGATCCTTGTGTCCCAGAAATTGGAAACCATAGGCTTGCTCTACGAAAGTATAGTATGATAAAGGCGATGTGTTCACGAGTCTTGTGCTCACCTGTCCTTGGATAGACCCCATACCATTTTTCTGGGAAAAATGATGATAGACCATTGGATTCGGATATGTTTTCATCTTAGCTCCTCATAAACTGCGAGTCCGTATTTCCCAAGACATCTCATAGCTTTGGCCCAACTTTGGGACACCCCCATATGGGATCCATGGGGATCCCCAAGATCCCAACATATATATATATATACATAGACTCCCCAACATAATCCCCCAACTCCCAACTCTAAATCAGCCACGAAGCAGAATAGCTTGGATCGCAGATCTCAGGATTAAACTTCTTCCGGCAAAACTCCGTGTAGCGGGGAAAGTCGTGGATGCGCCGCTCAAAGTCCCTGGCTGAGACGGTCCGAGAAGGTGTCCAGTTATATCTGGGAACGTAAGGTGCGGAGCAGCTTCCTTTAAGCTGGTCAAAGAGAGTGGAGGTGTGTTTAACAACCACATTGGGATGGAAACCGCGAAGAAATTGGGATTTGCCAACGAAACTTGTTGGGTCTACACAACAAGTAGGTTTTAGCGACAGAAATCATGAGCGTATTATCAAGACTAATGGACATTGCAGCCATGAATCTATGAGTGTGTAGATGCGATCGCCAATACTGAATCGAGACCCATCTGAACGGTGGGCCATGGACTACTCTTGCACCAGGGTCATAAAATTCCTAGTGGCCCCAAGAAAATGCTTCATTATCTGCTGGGGGATACCAAAAAGGGATGCAGTAACAAATTTTTGGTCCCTATATTATGTAGACAAAAGTCCTGCGCCAAAACGTCTGGGTATATATCCTTCGTTGTAAAGAGTAAAGCGAGACCCCAAGTTTTCCTCACATACCCGCCTAAGCGATTATATATCAAATCAAACTGACTGACTCCATCACAGATTGTTTTTGGCCTGCCCTGCACCATTTGATTGGTTGAGTTCAGGGTATCCATTGCGATCAACAAATGCCCTCCAACCCGCCCCAATGTTTCGAAAATCAATCTTCACCCGCCCCGGAAGTGACCATGTTTGGGGCCCCCGTGCCTAATTTCTTCCAAGGCTTCCCGAGTGAAAATGCCTTTCTCGGGGTCTTTGGCCTCCAAGTGGGTGGAACACTGGGGCCTCGGGGGCTCATACCCTAACAACTTGGGCGATGTAAATGTGTCGCAAGGTCCTCAAGATTAAACAATCCCAAAATGGTCCCAAATATGTGTACCCTCTGGTAATTTAACATAGCTATTGAAAATGGCTATTTATAGTGGATTTTCCCATTAAAATTTATTATTTTCCATAGTTATGTTAGTTTAACCCCAAAATGGTCCCAAATATGGTACCCTCTGGTAAAACATAGCTATTGAAAATGGCCCCATTAAAATTTATTATTTTCCATAGTTATGTTAGTTTACCAGAGGGTAAATCCCCTACTAAACCATGGCAAATCCCTACTAAACCATGGGGAAGGTGAATATTAGAGAGAAGGGCCTGAGAAGGGATGACTGCCATTATGAACTCTTCTCGAACAAGTGCACGGACCAAGAACGCGCTCCAAGCATCTCCGTGCCTGGTAGAAGATATCAAGTTTCCAAAAATTCCTCGGGATGTATCAAGTTGGGACATAAAAGAGTGGCTATCATGGCATTTGGGCATACCCAACAACTGGACATGGAACTATCCCCACCCGCCTGCCATCGATCTAAGGCTCACTCCAAAGGGGCTCGGGACTTTTCTGATCAAATGACAAGGCCCCGGCCTTTCAAACTCAGATTGCCATGTTTATGTTGGGAAAATTATGAAACAGCGGATTTAGCTAGGTTTCTCATAATTTTCAAACAATAACAATTCCGTTCCAAAATCAAGGACCTGTTTTTTTCACTTGGCAAATCGTCCATGCCCAGCAAAGATTTTTTTGAAACTAAATATGATAGCGTGCCCTCTTTCATGGCCAGAAAGCAAATGTTTTTTAACCATAAATGGCGAAAGATCATGCCCAGGTGAATGCGGTTTAATCGTCCTATGACCTACTCACCAGTCCGCTTAGCCATCATTTATGGTTTATATCACAAGATGGTTCAAACCCTAACTTTTTGCAAAGCAATGTCCCCACTTTAGTTCGTTAAAGCCAGCAATGATTTTTTTTAAAAAATGTTTTGCTGCGTATATTAAGCTATATATATATATATCCCCACTTTTGGGTTGTGAAAGCTGATCCTGGTCAAACCAACCAAGGTCTGCCCAGTTTTTTCAGCCCCAGCAGCGATTCAAGGGGTCGCACACTTTGAAGCCGCCGACTGCTGTGGTTCTCGCTGGCGAGAGATGCAGAGACAAAGTTCCAGGATGCCCATCTGGCCGTGTGGAATCCCCACTTGGCAGCTGTAGAAAAAAAGGGTCTACCACATTACTAATTATACGGCAAGACCCTATGGTTTGCCCGGAAAGTTAGAACTGTGTTCAAACATTATCCTTCAACATGCTCAAATACCTGCGCAGGGCCAGTGTTTTGGTATGTCCCAGACGACGAACCGTAAATTTAGGTGGTTTGCGCCAAGTGTGCACCATCATAGGTTGTTTTTTCAATCGCACATGTAAATTTTATTAAGCAAAATCCAAGCATCATGTGGTCAATTTTAAGTTCGTTTTGGGCAATTCTAGGCTCCATTTGGGCAATTGTTTGTGCGATTCACCAAGCACTTCACCAGTCCCTGTGGAATTTTAAAAACTTAGAAGTTGACATGTGGTGGCATGCATGAACCATAGCATGGCCACTGCACAAGGATGACACGTGACTGCCATTGCAAAATGGCTCAAGCCAACGAAAGTTGGCTCAAGGGCGAGACGAAAAAGGTCTTGCCTAGCAGCTGCTGCTTCAGTTGTTGATCCACGGGTTATGAGCCCAACGTTGGATCACTGCTGACATGGAGCTTTCTTCAAGGCGAGAGTCCTCGGTGCAGCGCCGGGCTGCTGCTGCTGTGAATGCGGCTGCTGCGGCAGAATGCGCCGATGAGATGATGCAGCGGATGCTGGATGAAGCAACTGGGTCTGGCCATGGGGATGAGGGGCAAAAAGCTTTAGAACCCAATACCAATAGAAGTAGTGGGGGAATGCTGGATGCTCTAGGACCTGTGGGCCCACCGTTGTCGTTCTCTCCTGGGGAACCTCCAATGTTGGTTGGTGAAACAAGGGTTAAAAACCTCGAGGTGAAACAAAACGTTGAAAACACACCTGGTGTCAAAAGGGTCGTTGTGACAGAGCAACAAACTCGGAACCCACCAAATGAGGGGACTGGAACTACCACCGAATCAGCGCAGGGGATTGTGAATGAACATAGTCCTAGAGATGGTGCTGGTAAGGGAAAGGGGTCTAGCTCTGAGTCTGGCAGAAGGGAACCCAGAAAAACTGTTGCCGCAGAAGCACAACACTCAAACCGGGATGTGCAGAGCTCACGTGTGAGGGGTTCTGAGGGTGTTGAAAATGTGTCGCAGGACTCACGAAGGAGGGGTTCTGTTTGTGAAAATGTGTCGCAGGACTCACGAATGAGGGGTTCTGTTTGTGAAACTGTGTCGCAGGGCTCACGAATGAGGAGTTCTGTTTGTGAAAATGTGTCTCAGGGCTCACATGTGAGGGGTTCTGAGGGTTGTGAAACTGTGTCCCAAGACTCACGCATGAGGGGTTTTGGTTGTGAAAATGTGTCTCAGGGCTCACATGTGAGGGGTTCTGAGGGTTGTCAAAATGTGTCACCGGGTCCCACTGGAAAGGGTTCGGGTGTTGTGAGTGAAACCATGCCTCAGGGCTCCAATGTGAAGGGTTCAGGGGTTCAAAGGTTTTACATAGGTGATGGGCCTCAGGGCTCCGGAGCCGTTGTTGTGGCGCCTCAGGGCACCGAAAATGTTGTTGTGGTTCCAGACCAAATGGGGAGTGTTGTGAATCCCTTCTGGAGCGAAACTCAGCAGCGTGAAGCTGTTCGAGAAGCATTCGGGCCTGGGTACGATGTGAGTGCCTTGGGTTTGCAGCCGGGTTCAAATGCGTCGACACCCCAAAAAGTTCATGTGGGACAAAGGGAAAGTGTTGATGTTGAAATGGATCCAATTGAACTGTTCCGATTGCGTTGTTTGAGAGATGCTGAAGAAAAGTTTCGGCAGGGTTTGTTGAATATGGGGATGAGTGCTAAGGAGTCAAGGGTTGAAAAGCATGAGAACGAAAAAGGGTCGCATGGTTCCCAAAGTTCATATGTTTCGGCAGTGGATTTCCAGGAACATGTCGCCCCCAAATCTCATGATGTGGTTGAATCCCAATTGGTTCATGATCCATATGTGAGGGTTGTACCTGAAAAGGCTGTGACGTTCACGAGGGTTGCACCTGAAAACGTTGTGTCAACTGTGTCAAATGTTGTTGAACCATTTGTGCCTAGGCCACCACCTGGACCTCCACCACCATCGCCGCCAAGAATGTTGAATAGTGTATGTGGGTTAGGGTCAGTAACACCTCAATTCCCTCCTGCACTGCCACCTTTTCCTGCGTCTGTGGCAGGAAACTTGCAAAACTCAGGTGGTGAAAATCCATCTGAAAATCTCAGGACGGTGGAGCTTCCGAAGTTGTCCATGGATGCCACTGCTCTGCAATTTGGTGATTGGCTCAGCATCATCGATTCTCTCATGGGTGACTTGTCGTACTCGTCGGGGGATTGGTGGACCATGGTCAGGGGAGCTGTTGATCAGTGTTATAGGGATTGGTTGAATGTTGGACCAATTGAAAGGCTTAGGCTTCGACCACAGGTGGATCCTAGGGTTCATCTTTGGCCTCGAACGGAAAGAAGGGCTTTAGCCATGCTTTTGGGAGCCATTCCTGACCCCATCAAAGAAGAAGTGATTTCAGCTCGAAAACTGACCACTGACCAAGTGTTGTACAAGTTGTGCATCACCTTCCAACCGGGAGGTGCTACTGAGCGCACGAAGTTGTTGCAGAACATTACGGATTCCAAATGTGGTTCCAATGTTCATGAAGTTTTGGACTGGATTCGAACCTGGCGACGGTTTGTTCAAAGGGCCAGGGAACTCCATGTCACGTTGCCTGATGGTTTGGTTTTGCTAGGGGCTTTGAACAAATGTACTGATGTTTTGAGTGGAAAATCCCCACAAGTGGCATATCGTCTCAACATGATCCGCCAGCAGTTGAATGTGGATCAGTTGCCAACAGCAGAGACGATCCTGAGCTACTCCGAGCATCTGCAAGCTGAAGCTGAAGAGCTGACTTTGAGCGCGCCTGCGAAGGCAACTTCGGCTGTGAGGGCTGCTGCTTTGGGTGTGCCATTGCCTCCTGGGATCCCTCAAAATCCTCAAAGTTCCCCAAAACCTCAAAATGAATCGGATCCGAGGTTTCCGAACTCAAAAAGAAAGCCTTGTAGGTATTGGATGAGTGAAAAGGGGTGTACCAGGGGTGATCAATGTTCTTTTGGTCATGCGAATTTGGACCCCCAAAGTAACCGATGTTTCAACTGTTCTGCTGTGGGTCATTCAAAACGTGACTGTCCTTTGAAGAATACAGGGTCGGACCCCAAACATGATCCCACCAAAAAGAGGGTTGCCAAGGTGTCAAAACCAAGTGGAAAAGGGACCCCCGAAAAGTATGGGAAGGGTATTGGGGAAAATAGTAGCCCTGAAAAAACTACTGGGGATGTTGCTGCAGCAGAGAAGCCTCTTGGATCTGAAACTGCGTACAGGACTGGGCCGGAAACTGGGGACGGGGGAGAAAGTACTCCTGAAAGGGTCACTGGGCTGTTGAGTGAAGCCACTACCCTCCTGAAAACCCTTAAATCGGTTGCCAAAGCTGTCAAAATCAAAAGGGTGAATGCTCCTGATGGACCCACAGGTCTTTTGGATGGTGGGGCAACAAACGCTTTGAGAAGGGGAACCCCAAAAGAACTGGCTGAAGCTGATCCTGTCGTTGTGGAGTTAGCACATGGGTCGGTTGAACTGAAACAACATGCTTTGACGGGGACCATTCTCACTGAACATGCGGTTGAACCCATTGTGCCATTAAGGGGATTAATTGACCTTGGTTTTGTCATCAAATGGAGTACCCATGGTTGTGAAATCAAACATCCCTCAAGAGGAACCATTCAGTGTTGGTTGCGAAATGGGTGTCCTGTTGTGTCTGAAAAACATGCGTTAGGGTTGATTCATGACATTGAATCTTTGGAGTTAGCCAAAAGAATCCCTTCTGAAAGTCCTGAAACCGTGTCTGAGACTGCACATGAATGGTGGTCACAAAGGTTTCCGAATGTTCCCAAAAGAATTTGGAGATACATGAAGGGTCAAGGGGTTGAAACTCCCGGGGTTCACTTGCCTTGGAATCGTGCCCAAAGGCGTCGACATGCCCAAGCTAAGGCGATTGTCATCCACTTGTATGCCGGTGAAGCATCTAAGGATTGGAGTCTTGGTTGGCCTGCTGACGTTGAAATGATCACTTTGGACGTTCGAGATGGTCAGAATGTCCACGATGCTGCAACTTGGGCCTACCTTTGGCGACTTGCTGCATCTGGTCGTGTCGTAGCTGTGTTGGGGGGACCACCATGTCGTACTGTGAGCAGATTGTTGGAGAAAACACCAGGACCACCAAGGTTGCGTTCAAGAAATGGTCCGGAAAGGTTTGGGTTTGAACACCTCAATGAATCCCAACAACAAAAAACGGACAGTGACACTGCGCTGTATCTGAAACAGTTGGGGTTGTACATGCATGCTCACGAGTCATGGGATGGTTCAAGATGGCCCCACATGAAACATGTTGCGAATAGGGTTGGATTTATGTTGGAATCCCCTCAAGACCCCAAAACTTACCTCCAAAATGGTGAAGGGGATGAGTCTGCGAGTTTTTGGGCTTGGGATGAAACAAGGGATTTTCTTGAAGCTTTCCAACCAAATGGAATGGAGTTGATCAGTTTTGACCAGGGTGCGTTTGGGCATACTCGGAAAAAACCCACAACATGTATGACCAACCTCCCTGACATGAAAGAACTAGATGGCTGTCGCTCTGGTGAACGTGAACGACACTTGGCGGTGAACTTGGATGAAAGGTTGAACCAAACTGCCTCTTGGTCACTTTGGGCACCAGGGTTGAGGGCTGCCATCAAAACGTCTTTGTTGGTTTTGGTTGAATGGTATGGGATCTCGCCACCAAAATTGTCCAAAAGTTTGGGGTTGGATCAATGGAAACAACATATCAATCAAGGACATCAACCATACCGACGGGATTGTAGGACATGTATACTCAACATGGCTGGGTCAAAACCACACCGACGTAGGGAACATGCTGGGAGTTCTGCTTGGACCATGTCTGTTGATTTGGTGAA